CTCCACGGCCCTTCCCGCATCTCTCCAAAGTCCAAAAGTCCCCTTCCCTTCTCTCGCCCCGCCCTCCATTTCCATGTGCCGGAAATTGGGTGGCAAAAGTACTTCCGGGACAGCAAGGTCAGTCCTAGCAAGATGGCGGCCCCCTTGGAGCTCAGTTGCTGGGGAGGCGGCTGGGGGCTCCCATCGGTACACAGCGAGTCCCTAGTGGTGATGGTGAGGCCGCCTGGCGGGCCAGGGCGCGGGAGAGGAGGGACGGGGTTAGAGCGTGGCTGACTGAGCCGAGTTCAGGCGCCTTGCGTGGTTTCTCCTGGTGTTGCGGGGCCGAGGTCCGCTAGGTTATTGCTAGCTGCTTCGTCCTGGTCTCCCTCCTGGCTACAGTCACAACTTAGCCTGTGACTCCGCCGAAGCCTGGAGGCAGAGTCATGGCTCCGAGTTTCCTCAGCCAAGCTGCTGTCTGAAAGCCGAAGCAGGGGGCGCGCGCGCTTCGCCCCGCATAATTCCTCCGATCTTTGAGGAACAAAGTCCTCGAAAGCTAGAAAGCTGGGGTGTGCACCCCACTGCCTGTGTATAGATCGCGAGAGACAGAGAGACGCGGCCCCAATTTCAGACGTTTTCTGCCCTTAGGGAAGCGGGCAGTGAAGTAAAGCTGCTCTGCAGATTTGCATTGCGTACTCTTGTCTAAAATGTTTTGTTGCAAACTCTGTTTCAGGCTTATGCCAAATTTTCTGGTGCACCCTTAAAAGTCAATGTAATAGATAAGACCTGGAGAGGTTCAAGAGGTACAGTTTAAAGTTTTAAACATCCCTTTCCCCTCTTCCCTTCCCCTCCCTGCATATAGCTATGGGGTACCTTGGGGCTTTAGTTTCTTCTTACCCTGACCTTGGCTGTGTGTTACTTATGATTTGATCATTCTAAGCAATATTTTCAAAGTTCAAATTATGAGAATGAAAGTGTTCTCTGTAACTGTTCGTAAAATTGCAAAAAAATAAGATGAGCTTACTCATTTCCCCCCTCCAAACATGTATTTGGCATTGTTTTTAGGGTATTGGATTCTCTTCAGAGGAAAGAGAAATGTTTTCTTGTATGTAAACTGTTTTTTGATCATAGGAGATGTACCAATTTTGACATATGAAGATAACATTGTTTGTCAGCCGGCAAAAATACTAAACTTTTTAAGAAAACAGGTGGGTGATTCCTACTGAAGCAGTAGATGTTACTCCCTGCATGATAGTTAAAAAACATATTGAAAGGTTCTGAGAATTTTTGTCAACTCATTAGACAATTGGAGATACCTGGAATTTGATTTTAAAAAAGACTTGAGAAAATGAAATAGTAATACGTACTGAATATTTGCTACCAATTGTAATTGCCCTGTATAGCCACTTGAGTGGCTTGTCAACAGTCACTTTTTTTTTTTTGTATCACATGATATGGGATAAAATATAGCAGATTCTTTAAAAAATAAGATTGGAGAATCACCTCTCCAAAGCACCAGTTTACTGTGATTTTAAAGCCATGTGGTGAGGGATAGTTAATTTTTTATTTCTTGAAGCTTAGTTTTTGAACACATTCAATTTAGTCATCTGCACTACACTATATTGGTAAGATTGTTACTTTAGTTACATAGTTGCTACACATTTTGTACTGGGTATAACATCCGAGTTCCCATCAACTAGCAACTGTTTTTTAAAAGTGATGGTTGCAGTTAATGTTTCATGAGATAATGTATTCAAAATGTTTGAACTGTAAAAATGTATATGGTATAGCCAAAGTATTTAAATATCTGAAGACTTAAAGATGGAAAAGTTACTGGTTTTACAAATACTTTTAAAAAAATGAATCATGTGAACAAAATTTGGAACTTTTCTAAGTTTGAAAGTTTTCTTTATTTGTTCAAGGGGGAAAATGCAACCAGTTATAACTTTCCTTTTTTGTTAACAAAAATAATAGTTTTTATTAAGTTTGTGCTACATGCCATGCATTAAAATAATAAGTTTAAAAAAATCTTATAACTTACTTAGCATGCTGTATGCATGCTATTTGCTAAGCACTTCATTTGCTTAGGCAGACTTTGTCATTGAATTTGTATTTTTCTTACCCTCTCCCCCTTAAAATATCATGTTTGACAGTTATGAGAAATTACAGGAATCCTACTTTATTTAGCTTTATTCTTTTAGACTATTCTTGACTTTTAAGGTTTTTTTATATTTAACAGAAATATAATGCTGATTATGAACTCTCAGCAAAACAAGGGGCAGATACACTGGCTTACATTGCTCTTCTTGAAGAGAAACTTCTTCCAGCAATGGTGAGCGTTGATGACTATTACAAAGTTTTAATGATCTAGTAGAAAGTGATTGTTTAAAAGAAAAATAAGAGGGCTTAAGGGAGGAAATTTCATTTATATATTAATTTTGAATCTTTCTTATTACTGTGAAACCGTTTTCTGTTAAACATTTAAGTAGTATGTGAAACTACAAAGGGTAATGTTATATTGGAACTAAAAATTCTTTGTGGAGGGTGGAGTTTATTGTTCTATGTATTTAAATTGGATGAACTCTAATTCAGTTATTTAATATATAATTATTGAGCACCTACTACATGCCCCGGCTTTATTTTGGGTGACTGGGATATAGCAGCCAATAATACTCACACATTTAAAATCTTGTTTTACCCTTGAGCAATTCTTACTGGAAAATTTGTCTGAGGTCTTTATACAAAGATAAAAGCTCTCACATTTGGTGATTCTTTTTAAATAAAAGAACATCATGTTTTTTCCCACCTTTTCAGCTTCACACATTTTGGGTTGAGAATGACAATTACTTTAGTGTGACAAAGCCATGGTTTGCTTCACGCATTCCTTTTCCCTTGAGTTTAATCCTGCCTGGAAGAATGTCTAAGGGAGCACTGAACAGGATTCTCCTGACCAGAGGACAGCCTCCCCTCTACCACCTTCGAGAAGTAGAAGCACAGGTATGATGGAATTACTTTCAGACAAGGCTGTACAAGAGAAGGGACAAAAGTGATAGCAGAGATGAACTAACATCTAGATGCCTGCCTAAAAAGGGGTTGTAGAGCATCTTTTCTGCCTTTGAGATATAATTTCATTCTTATTAGATATACAGAGATGCCAAGGAGTGCCTAAATCTTCTGTCAAATAGATTGGGAACATCTCAGTTTTTCTTTGGGGATATGTAAGTACATAAAAATCATTTTGATGTTTTTTGTGTAATATAGTCAACGAGTAGTTATTTAAAGAAAGCTTGCTTGCTTTTCTCCCACCCAAAGGAATTTTTCACTAAAAAATGACTGAACGGACTTTTACTATAGGAAACTTTGTCACTGGTAAACAAACATTGACTTAGCATGCTGTGTGTGTGAATTTAAAACAGCTGACTATTCCCACCCTATCTTCAGTCTCTATATAACATTAGGAAAAAATGAACCTTTAATCGACAACTTTATTTTCTTCCAAATAAATGTCTACCGTTAAACTAATGAGTAAAAGCATAGTTGCACTATAATCGCAAATATTTTTCTTAAGTGCGTTAAACAAATCCTAATGTTTTTTAGGCCTTCTACTTTGGATGCCTATGTTTTTGGTTTTCTTGCACCTCTTTATAAAGTACACTTTCCCAAAGTTCAATTACAAGAACATTTGAAACAGCTCTCCAACCTGTGTCGCTTTTGTGATGACATCCTAAGCAGTTATTTTAGACATAGTCTTGGAGGTAAGCCTAATCTTCAACTAATCTTTGTTTGCATGCAGTATTGGATATTCTTCTAAGGATGTATAAATAAAATCATTATGGATTAAAGAAGCATGGATATTGTCAGGAAGTTGGCATTTTCCAACTGAATTTTATTCTTAGATGTCCTTATTTAAGTGGAGCAGTAGACACTTGTCATTTGTTTATTCTTCTGGATTTTATACATTTCCTAATTCTTGTTCTCTATAAACATTGATTGCCCCGGGCCCTCGCTGGTGGCGCAGCGGGTTAAAAGCACAGCACTGAGAATCTAAAGCCGCTTCCTCATGAGTTGGATTCTCGCCTGTCCCAGAGGTGACCACATGGCGCGGCAGATCTCTCCTGACCCGCCCGCTGCTCCCCTCAGCAGTGTACTTCATCAATCTGCCTGTTCTGTTCCCCACTCTGTCTCTGGTGAAGCCTCTCACCGCCCCTGAGCCTCTGGCCTATACCCCCGTTCTGTATGCACAAATAAATCTTTTAAAAAAAAAAAAAAAAAAAAAATGATTGCCCCTTTGAAGTGGGTCATTTCATTTTCTTCTAAAACATTTAGAAGAAATTTATCAAGTCCTTTATCAAGTGGCATGTATCAAGTCCTTGCTAAAAGATGGTATTTATCCTAATGCAAATGGGCAATTACTTTAAATGTTGCTTCTAGCATTTTCCTGCCTGAACAGAAATCAGCAGGTTGATTTTGGTGAGGTACATCCCTGTTTCTACTACTTGAAAATTGATTGCAGCAGACTGCGGTATAGTAAACAGAGGGCACCTGCCCCTTCGAATATGATTCTTTTGGGAGCATGAGGCCTGTGCTTAAGTGATTGGGATACTAAATTTGGGTTAGGAGAGTTGGTGGAAACAGAAGTTAAAAGTTAAGCTAGTTTATGCATAGTTTATTTCTTAAGGTAAGTTACATGTTTTATATATAGGGAGGGGTTAAATCTGACTACACCACAAAATTCACATTTACTGAATAAAAATCTCTTAGTCGTAGACCTCAGGAATATGTATTTTTTAAGTCTTCAAATACTTAGAATGCCTGGTGCGTAGCTATTTTGGAGTCACTGCATTAGAAAGCTATTCAAATAGTTTTAACTAAAGACCTATTTAAATTGGTCTTTAAAGTTCAATTTGAGAAGAAAATGAGGACTGCTGTGCTCTTCTGCTAATTTTTTTGGCATACAGCAAACTGGTGGACAAATTTAGTCCTTTGTTTTAGAGTTTGACTTTGGAGCATTTCTAATCCCTCTTTGAAATCTGAGTGGTTTTTCTTTGAGATGGGGCACTTTGGAGGGTGGATAAACTCAAAATGCTCTCAATCTAAACAGTTTTAAAAGCTTTCAAATTTCCTGTCTTTCTGATTTCTGTCCTGGCTTCTTAGGCATCTCTCCTGCTGGACAAGAGACAGTAGATGCAAATCTGCAGAAACTCACACAACTCGTAAATAAGGAATCCAACTTGATTGAAAAGGTCAAGGTTACTTCACTCATTTTATAGTAGTTTAGTATTTTTCTTTCTATAACTATTATAACTTGGGTCATACATTAACTTTACCTTCTTGGTTTTTTTTTTTTTTTTTTAAGAGTTATTTTCAGAAAGCTGTATATAATTATTTTGAAGCCAGTAGTGGCTTGATTGCTTTGGGAAAAAGATCTGATAATAAGTACTGGATTTACACAAGTAGTACTTTTCTGATGAAGAGATCCAAAAAGACAAATCAAAAACAGTTTTTGCTTGCCCGTCTACTTCTGTATCTCCAGAGGTTAACAGTGCTTCACAATGTACACATGTGTTTATCTTTCCTTGTTAATAGTACCATGATGACTTTTTCTTTCTTCTACATGTTTTATTTTTCTCTTCTTCCAGTTTTTCTCTGTTCTAAGTGTATAATGTTCACCAGTGTGGATAAGTTTACCACTTTGGGTGTGTTCATTTGGTGAAAGGTATATTGAAGAATTAAGTGAGGGACAAAACCAACAATGGAAATTCCAAGGGTGATTTTAGTTGAAAAAAACACAAGCGCTATAAATTTTCCTCTCAAGTACCTGGTAACTTGCTTTTTTCTCTTATACAGTGAAAAGTACTTCATTCTTTCACAAATGAAGGAATCTTAAGTAACATTAAGTAACTGTGTTGCATGGGTTTGGTATGTGTTCACTCATTTAATCCTGACAACACCTCTATATGCCAGGAACTCTATCATTTGGATTTTATAGCTGAGGAAACTGAAGCTTTGAGAGTAGCTTTTGTCACCTGTCCAAGGTGATTTAATGGGTAAGAGGTAGACTGGTCTCCAGCATGTGCTTTATAGTTAGAAACCATCTCACTTATGAATGATGTTAGAAATAAGGAATGATTGTGTCTTCCTTTTTTTCTTCACAAGTTTGTTGGGAAGATCAAATGAGTTTTTAGGACAGACCCATGGACCTGCTTTGTGAACTGGTGCTTAGTGTAATGAAGTACTGCTCTTTCGCTTACTATTAGAAGTACTCTTCAAACAAGTCATGCTATGGTTGAGATCAGCAGTTCAACAAAAATACTCGTTTTGTGGAAGTACTGTAGTTTTGTGACGGTATCAAGGATGAGCCATGTAGCTTGATACATACACTGAGTCAGCTGCTATTTGAGGTACGACATTTAGAAGTCTTGAGAGGTTATTTGGAAATAAAAGGTTTGTGTAGCAGTCCAGAAACAAATGTTTCTTCACGCTTCTAGGCTAGTTTGGACAGGAGGGCTCAATCTGTGAGTGGTACCGCAGCCATTAGTCACAGGTACCTTTTGTATTTTCTATAGATGGATGATAATCTTCGTCAAAGCCCTCAACTTCCTCCTCGGAAACTGCCAACACTTAAACTGACTCCCGCAGAAGAAGAAAGTAATTCCTTACAACGACTATCACCCTGACATGCTCTGTGTCCAAAGTCATGTGGTTATTGCATCAGTCTCTTACACTAAGTATTATGGAGGCAGACGAAAATGCAATTAAGAGGTATAAGGAAGACTTGAAAACAAAAGAAACTTTCTACAATCTTTATTTTTTTTTTTAGGAAACTTGTATTTTAGCTTGGCAATGCACTTTAAATAACATCAAATTGAATGCTAAATGAATTTGGAGAAAAATGAAAACACTGTACTGTATATATATATATATCTATATATAAAAAAAACCCTGCCTTAATCTTGGCAGATTTTGCCTTTAGTTCACATGTTGCTGACCAAAACTATAATTCTGTTCTGAATGTGCTCTCTTAATTTATTCATGTTGATGTATTAATTTCATTTTCTTAGGTCAGTATTAATATCTAATATTTGGCTCTTTGGCTGAGGCTTCTTCAGTTTAAAAATCTGACACCTATTTTACACCTTAGAATTATTATAAATTCAGTAGAAAAGCTGGTGTTTAACTATAAAAAGCAGAGAGGAATGTGCTTTTTAATTATGCTGTCATAAATCTAACCTTAAAGGGTTTAGTGCCATATATAAAGGTGTCATATTAATCTGATTATATGCACTTCAATGTAATGTTAATATTTGCTGATGTGTTCAATATAGTTAGCAAGGGCTCTTTTAGTTTATTGAATATGGCAGCTTTAGACCTCTGTATGTATAGTACAACTTTAACTTTAGTCGTATTTTTCTTGGACTGATTTCAGGAGAAATGAATGTATTGGTCATAACCATTTTATTAGGCTGTAAAGTCTTACTGAGCCTTGGCCAGTGTTAGCTAACTCAGGCGGAGCCCCACTACCAGAGTAACAGAAGAACCACTGTGTGTCTGGTCCGAGTTCATCATGCTTAGCTCAGACCGGTGTTTATTCTTAGGAAGGGCCATCATGTAGTCAAAAATTTTATGGCAACTAATAATCTTCTATATGGTTTACAGTGAGAAGGACTCAAAGGAATAATCAGAAATAGCAGGTATTAAAGACTAATTTCTAATAGTTGTTGAACTGTGAAAGGATTTTCTGTGTAGATAATTTTACTTATTATACAATAGAATCTTGCTTGTATTAGTGGCTGAGGTGCTCCTGTCATCCTAAAACAACTTTTGGGGGTTTTAAAATACAGGACTCATGTTTTTGATTAGTGTCTTAATAGATTACTATGGTGCTCAGCAAATTTCATTATGTCCTACAGAAACCCCATGTTAAGGAATACTTGTCCTATTTAAATTGAGTGGAGCTTAGCTGTCCTGTACTTGTCCTGTATTTGGGTAGCTTTATACAGGAAATCTTAAGTCATTCGAAGCATTTTTTTTTCTTGAAGGTTTTAATTAAATGAGAAAAAAGGTAGTCTTCAATATCATGGTGTGTTCATGAGTTGGGATGTATTTAGTAGGGAACATTCCTAATAAGTTTCATATTACTTCAACAAATGGTGGGTAAAGAGAGCTCATTTTGCATTAATCTTTAAAAGTAGGCTATTAGATGTCAGCAATCTGAAATCTGTGACTATTTTCATTGAAAATCATGACCATAGACTTTGTTTTCTAGAATTGATATTGCAGAAGGATGGCTAACACATTTGTCATACATGTTTGTCTTAGTCAGGATTAGTCATTTTCAATTATGATTTTTTATAAACCTTCCAAAAAGCAAAGAAATCGCTTACAGTTGTAAAACAGGACACTTAAAATTAGTTCTGGGGGGGAAAAATTGTAGGAGAAGGAACTATATCACCCCTAACAGAGTGTATAATCAAAGGGTAACTATGACTGCATGTTTCTTCTTAGGAAGAGTCAAAAGTTTAAAGTTAATATATATGTTTTCCGCCAGTAAAATTACTAGTACCGATAAGTAAGAAAGAATTAGGAAAATTACATTCTTAGGACACACAGACATAAGCCACTAAGTTATTATAATGTTTCAGGTGTTGAATCAATCACAAATATTTGTCCTTTTTAGTAGAGAAGACAACAATGAATATAAGTTGCTTTTTGATCACTCCTGCTTTGAGTTCCCTTTAGTTTTACACTATGTAGGTCATGATATTTTCAGACTACCTTTTCCTAAGATGCAAAATGTGATTTAGATGAGTGAGAATTTACATATTGGGATACTTAGTTGAGCTTTTTTGATACGTGCCAATAAGATGCTAGGAAGCAATAACAGCACAGACTCCTTTAGGGACCAGGGGACCAACCACATATATCAGAACCCTTGGGAAAGAGCAACTCTGCAGATTGGGCAAAGACCTATGATCAGCTTGTTAGGGAAGTTTGGGCTAAAGCTTGAGTTTACTGAGTATGATAAATGGTCCATAATCTTGAAGTGCCATGTGCCACTTGGAGCTGATGGTGGAGGATAATATGATAAAAGGGAGTATGTGTTTATAATTGTTTATAGTATAGGACTAGAAAATTGATCAGATAATCCCTGTAAAAGATCTGCATCATCAGCCATTCATAAGAGTAGACAGACACTTTTATGTTTGGCAATGCCAGCACTACAAAATGCTGGCATTGACAAACAAATTTCAACTTAAATATGTCTGTATTATTTTTTGAGTATTAGAGATTTTACATTAAGTCCAAAGCATATTGATTTCCATTTGTAATTTCTGTTCATTTAAAATATTGCTAGATATAGTAACATGAAGGAATGGGAAAACTTATTTCAATCAGCTAAATTACTTTCAGAAGTCTGCAAAAATGGAAACAACTTAGTCATCAAAAGGAATTAGTAATAATGATATCTTAGAATAGCAATTGTTCAGGTGGGCAGTATGTTTTTTGAAAGCCTAGTCCAGGGATATATATTTAGATTTCTTTTACTGTTTTCCTAAACCAAAAATGTTAACCCTTTAAAACCAAACTTTGAATGCTTAATGTAAAGACAGGAAGTTCACTGATGGTGCATAGGATATCTTTGTACTACTTTTGCTACTTCCGTGGGTTTATGATTGTTTTAAAAGTGAATTTAATAAAGTAAATGTATCATTTTTTAAATTAGATTAGAATTTAAAATGTAACACTCCAAAGATAGTATTTAGTGCCAGATGAATACATACATAAGAAAAATATAATTTGCTTCCTTTTTGAATTTAAAGAAAAACGCTCATGTTTATGATGCATGATAATCTAAAGACCTATTTTGTCTTACCCCAAAAGAACTATTTACCACCAAGAATCCTTTTCCCTAGAATATCAGACAAGATCATAGACTCCTCTAGGATATCAAAAATTCTTATCACTCAGAAATTTGCTATTAGATGAAATAAAGGTTGAAAGTCCAATTATTCTCAAAGGTTTCATTAGATGTTTTAAATGGTGATTTTTTTCATGGGAATGTAAAGATGAAGTTAAAACAAAACAAATTAGTTTCTTTAAAAACATCAGAAAGTAAGTTTTTTTTGTAACCTCATTCAGATTTTTTTGACATTATACTATAAGATTTTAAAAAACATCTTTTAGCTCCTAAAGGCAGAATGTATCATTAAATGATTAGAAATTTCCATGGCCAAATAAATTTGGGAAATGCATTAGAAACAGTTAAGGTAGGCTTTTCAGAACCATTGATACATTGTGTGTGGTTTCAGTTTCCAGGGAGGGTCTGTATTTTATAAACCATTTCCTTGGTTTATTTTAATGTGTGTGTGTGTGTGTTTAAAAATAGGTGTCCTGTGGAAATTGTGTTCTGAGAAATACGTATAGAGAATGCTGCCTGAGAGTGTTTTTACTTGTTGTGCTCATTGCAAAGGTTTGTTATTGATGAATTCCTTTTTAGTGGGTGGTGATAAGTGGGAACTCAGGTGAGGACCTCCCTAGACCATGGAGTTGAGAGAAGCGTGGCTATAATTTTAGGACTGGATTCTAAGACATGTGCGGTCCCTGGTCTGCCTAGCCCCTTTCCCTTAAATAAGAGTTGGCCGAAAATAGCTGTATAATATGAGCTAGTGTTTTTAGAAAACTAATCAGTTCCACGAGAAAAAGGGAACCAATTTGTATTCCAGAGCAATTTCCCCAACCCTTTGGCTTTAAAATGCCAAAAAGACAGTGGGTATTTATAGCATTAAAATCACATAGAAGTTTATTATTTTGGGTGGATGGATGGATGGATGAATGGATGGATGGATGGATGGATGCAGGTGTTTACAGTTGTTGCAGTGACAGCAGAAGTTTAATATTTTTTGTTACATTACTGAAGATGTGGTCTAAATAAGGGTTGTTGGTTTGTTTGCATTTTTTAGGATGAAGGCTTGCAATTTGCATTAGATCCAGCAGTTTCTATATCCTAAAATATTTAAGCTTTACTAAACCTCCAAATTTTCAGAGACCCAAGTATGTTTGATTTCATACATAAAATCAGATCACTAATCAGGCATATGGATGCTTTTCATTTGTTTTCCCCAACATATACAGTTGCCTGTTGGGAACTCTGCATTTGATATGTGTATTTGATAGAAAGTTTGCCTTGCGGTTGGATTTGTGTGTAACGGTAAGCATCTAGCCATGTGAAAAGCAGTTGGAGCTTTGTTCTGATTCATTAGTTTTCCTTATGTAAATTTAGAGAAATGCTTTTTTAATCATTTATTTTACATACCCAAGATCCTTGAAAATCAAGAAAAATGACTTGCTAGAGTTTCAGAGAATCATGTACTACAGAGAAGGTTATGCTGACCACTTGTTTTTTGGACCAATGACTAATTTTCCTTGTACTTCTGATGTCTTTATCTTGTGGAGAAGGTGGGGTGTACTCAAGCTTTTACATTAAATACACAAGGAAAAGCTTTATTCCTCATCTAACGCAATGTTTTATTTTGTAAACTAGAAAAGAATGTCTTTTCCAGTTTTCTGTTCATCTTAAAATAACTGGAATTGTTTCTAATGTAACTTTAACTTTATGGAAGATTGGCAGTAAAGAAGAGAAATAATTAATATATGTATACACATACTGGTTGTCCCACCAAGCTTATCTTTGAATGGTAAACATTTTAAGCATCTGTTCTAGTGTACAAATACTAGGTTTTGTTATAAATAATCTTCAAAATAAACAGTGTTAGTCATAATTTCAATTATCTAGCCTTGTTTACTGGAAATATATTTTACCAAGAGACTATATATAGATACCCAGACGTGATGTTAATGATCACTGTAAAGAATTTATTCTGATAAATGAGAACCTGGATATTAATCAAAATAGCTATTTTCACAATAAAATTTCAAATTGCCTGAATATTTATTAATTCCTGATTTAATGTTTTTATTCTTTGAGGTGAGTATATTCATTGGGAAGAATTTTTGGGTGGCTGAATATAGTTAACAGGTGCTGGAACTGAGCTGCATATAGGGTGGATCTTCTTTAAAAGTCCATTATTTCTGTGATGCAGTGAAATGGCTTCTGCTCTCTCTACTCCAGCCTAAGACATGTTAAAAGCCTTTTCTCTAAGCCACTGGTATGTATGTAACCTTGGCTCACACAACATTTCAGGGCTACAGTTTTCTCATCCCTTTGGAACTTTTAAGTTTCTTTAAAATTTTCCCTGAAGCCCACCTACACAGTTCAGTGATGTTCCATGTAATTCAATGGAAGCAATACACTGAAAAAAAAAACAAACAAACAATGCAATCTATATCTATATCTATATATCTATATCTATATCTATCTATGTGTGTGTGTATATATATATATATAAAGAGAGAGCGAGAACCCTAACCGAGCTATTAAGAAAGGGTAGGTTGCGTGAAGGTAAGATGCTCAGGTATATGAGTGCTATTTCTATCACAAAGAGCCTGATACATCTTTGTTGGTAGTTTTATCCTAAAGAACACAAGTCATAATTTCAGGTGAAGTTTGGGTTCCAAATGAAAGAACCTTAGGTGGATTGAAGTGGTTAATAATTATCACCTGCTCTCTGCAAGGGAACAATACAAAGAGTTGTGTGGACTATGGAATTCTTTTGAGGAGAAACCTTTGAAGTCACAAAGTTTTGCTATAAAGAACCCTAAAGAGAAGAAATATGGTTTTTAATTGCTCAACTCAAAGGCTTACCTTAAGTTTGGGCCTGTTTGGGTGATCAAAAACTCCTGGATGATGTTCTATTTTTCTTTTGATGCTAACAGCAGTTATTGGTAGGAGAACTTCTAAATTTTGCCAGATTGTTATCTTTTCCTAAGTCGATCTCCACAAGAGATTCATAGGAAAAAGACTGAGATAAAGGGAAACCAGTAAGATCACTTGCGTGAGACATGTATATGAGAACAAGAAGGAAATGGTGGTAAAGAAATGTCAGAATTCATCTTACTCAAGATCATCTTGTAGTTAAATTCCTAGTTTTATAGCAAAGGAACTACTTATCCTTTCATGATCTAACAGGCAAGATCTTCAGGAGAAAGACTGAGAAACTATGGTTCATTTCTCCAGGTGCCTGAATCAGCCTCCTGGAATGCTTTAGACATCTGTGATTAAGAAATGAGGACAGCTGTGCATCATCAGAGATATTTCTAATTCCTAATGCAGCCAGCTTGAGGCCCCCAAAATTACATTTTTCTGAGTGGGAGAGAGATTATTACATTTATCCTACTTTTTTGAGTAAAAGTAAAAATAAAAATAGAGAAATTTTACCATTTATAAATACAAGTAAGGCTTGGTTCCTCTGATCCTATTTGGGGGAATGCAGTCCTTTTAAGAATTCACATTTTGAAAAGGTTCAGAAATCTTTTGGTATAGAAGAAAGCATGGCACTTTCCAAATATCATAGTCAAGACCAAACAGATTTTAGTTTTATTTTAAGAGCAAGAAGCAAATTGACTTATCTGAAGACTGTCAGATTGCACTTATTCTGATACATGCTGTCCCAGTTTTTACATGTAGGGGAAATTGCCTTTTTCATCTAATGAACATGATATATATTTTGCATTACATATACTATCTGATTCACACACTGATAAAATGGCTTAGGAAACGATATTTAGAAATTTAGTAGATGCAGAAATTAAGAGGAAAAACTAGAGAAAGGGATTCTAGCTATATCTGGTGATAAGGTGAAAAAGAGACAGAGGCAGAAAAACAACGGATTTTAGAGTTAGAAAGTCATGCTTAGCACACTATGCTAAATATTTTGAGTAAGTTTCTTGACTTTTAGTCTGCATTGCTATCTACTGCAATGCAGTGAAATAACTAGATCTGAGAATGTATGAACATTTTATGTGTTTAGCATTAAAAAATTTATGAAAATATAGAAGATCCCAAGTGTAGCATCCCACCGCTTATGAATAACCTCTTTTAACATATTGGTAGCTGTTCTTTCAGTCTTTCTTTTTTACATAACCACACACCTATACAAAATCCTATATATAGTAATCATATTGCATATACTATCTTGTAAAGTGCTTTATCATTTACTCAGAAAATTATGTAAGTTACTGTATATTTTATGTGATTTTTAAAAAAGATTTATTTATTCATACAGACTGGGGTACATATCAGAGATGCGGAGGGTGAGAGAATTCACTAGGGACAGAGTGGGGAGCAGAACAGGCAAATCGACGAAGTACATGCTGAGGGGAGCAGCGGACGGGTCAGGAGAGGTCTGCCGTGCTGTGTGGTCACCTCCGGGGCAGGCGGGGATCGAACTCATGCGGAAGTAGCTTAAGCTTCTTAGTGCAGTGCTTTAACCCGCTGCGCCACCGGGGAGGGCCTATTTTATGTGATTTTTAAAGACTGTACAGTTTTGTTGTGTGGGTGTAGTTTATTTCATTTTTTGAGATGGACAGTAAGATATGCTCCTTTTGTAATGGTCTTTATTACATATTATTAAAGTTTCTCAGGGAGACTGCCTGTTATATTCTCTGCAGCCCTATAGAGGGCTGCAAACCCACTGGCTTCATGTATTATTTATTCCACAACTTGATAGGTGAAAAATAGTGTTTTTATTTAGTATATATTTATGTGATAACTATTAAGATTAAATATTTCCCCAAAGTGTCTACAGGACACACACACACACACACGTTGTTTACATAGCTCTTGCGAGAAGGGCAAATCACTTTATTTTTCTGGAACCCTATTTCCCCAGCTCACTGATGGGGTTTCCCTGTGGTCTAAGTGGGATAACCAAGGCCAAGTCAGAATATGGCAGATGTCTAGATGCCTAGTGGTATTATTTCCCTTCATGTTGTTTCCTGGATTAAAGGCCCCTAGAGGGAGGAGACTCTAGTGCTTGGCACATAGAAAGGGCTCAGAAAGCTTATGAGGAAGGAAGAATAGATAGGTTTAGAGAACATTCTGAGGTTATCGGGAGGAGTGAGAAATTGAAGCCAAGAGCCAGTGTAATCAGCAGTGAGAGAACTGGTGGGCTCCTTAGCAGGTTACTATTAAAATGCAAGAATTGATGTTTTATTCCCAAAACTTCCCTAAGCAACAATTTCTTTTTAGTTTTCTAAATTATTTTTCTTACAATGTTTGTTTTCTTTTGTCACGTGTAGTCCCTATAGAACCCCCACAGTCCCTTGTGCTTGTCGTGCCCTCTTTTTGATCCCTCTCTCCCCCACAAAATGTCTCTGACTTATAGTTGTCTGTTTATTTTAGTTTTTTTCCTTGATCCTTTATATTCCTCCTATAAGTGAAACCATCCAGTGTTTTTCTTTTTCTTTCTGTTTTATGGTCAAATCCCTTAAAGGTCCATCCATGTCTAAACAATTTCTTACAGATTGAAGTGGCTAAAGGATATCAAGTATCTATTCAAGAGTTGGCCTTGAAAAGTTGAGTGGGTTTTGTTTTAATTTTTGTAAGATATAAAGTATTGTAAATATATTAGGAAAGGTGACTAATTACATTTTTGTAAAGTAAGTTTTAAAAATGATTATTCCTGGCCCTCCCTGGTGGCGCAGCGGGTTAAAGCACTGCACTGAGAAGCTAAAGCCACTTCCGCATGAGTTCGATTCCCGCCTGCCCGGGAGGTGACCACATGGCGTGGCAGACTTCTCCTGACCCACCCGCTGCTCCCCTCAGCAGTGTACTTCGTCGATCTGCCTGTTCTGCTCCCCACTCTGTCTCTGGTGAAGCCTCTCACTGCCCCGAGCCTCTGGCCTGTACCCCAGCATATGCATAAATAAATAAATCTTTAAAAAAAAAAAAAAGATTATTCCTGATTTTCACATATTAAATTTGCCTGGAGTAGAAATAAACCAGTAATGATAATATAGTCATACTAACAATTGGTAGCAAGTTAAAAGTCAACTGTGGTGCTTCAAAAGGAGGGATGAGAACTAGTGTCAGTGTTTGTTTTACTCAACATGTCCTGTGACTGTGGGGGAGAGGGAGTCAGTGATTCGTTAATGAGATTTGCAGATGGCTTTAAATTGAGAGGTATTGTAAACAGCAGGAATGACTGAGAAATAATACAAGAGGATCTGGAAAGGTTAGGAACATGGACAGGAAATCAAATGAATCAGCCTGGAGTAATGCAAGCCAATCTGACATCTGGGGCCAAATAAGAAGAAATACAGATACACCATGAAAGAGACAAACATGGACATAGTCATCTCAAAGGAGGAGTGGGTGGTACTAGAGGAGAACATGAGGGAGATAGGAAGCTGGAACTAAACTTGAATCCCCACTATGTGCCCAATACTGATTTAGTCGTGTCCATATTGATTTCTTTGTATGGGGTTAATTCACAAGAGCTTGGTACTTAATGAAGTTCAGCTGCCCTCTAGTTGCCGTTAATGGTTGTTAGCATATATCATTATAGAGAGCTTTGTGGAAGTGGCCTGGATTCTCCAGAAAAGCTCTTGTGGGAAAAGGTCACTTAACCACATTCCGGTGGGGCATTGGTTTCTACTCAGTGGGTGTTTCCAAGAATTTGTGAAACTAGCTTCCTCCAGGCTATCCCAGGTGCCAGCAGCACATAGGGGTCCCACAAACCTTTGGTGAGTTAGCCCAGGAGTCCAGCTCCAGCATGGATTGGCCCAGGAGGTGGCTTGTTCCTTCCTGTCATGTCGCTCCCTCTCCCCACCAGTGTCCTCTTGTTAACACGTAGTACTGTCTATAGAGGGCCCTTTGCTTGGGTTTTCTTTATTTTCCTCTCGCTATAGTAGTCTAGTGATCATTGTATTTCCTTTAGAAGTCAATAAGCTAAATCAGATTTGCCCTAATTTAGGAATCACCAGAATTAAAAAAAAAAAAAATGAAGTCACTACTTCTCATTTTTTCAGTTACAAAGGCTTGAGGAA